CCATTTGATCTTATTTCAAAACGTATGGACTTTACTTTCACAGTCTTAAGTTCGTTCTTTTCAAAGATGATTTCACATCATATAGCTGGTGAGAAAGTAAAGATACCTTTTTCTAAAAAAAATTGCAATTGAAACGTCTCTAAAAACAGTAAAAAATTTTTTTCATGGCTAAATCTACCATTATCTTGAAGACTAAAATTTCTATTTTGCAATAACCTCTTAAAATCTACTGCATGATATTTTTTCACTATTTTATAAAACTTTAAACATTAGGATTATATGTTACAATTTCTTGAATTTTTGTCGTTTAATTCTAATATTCAAAGTTTAATAAAGTGTTGAAAAAAATCATATAGTAAATTCCAAGAGCTTATTGTAAAGGGAAAACTTCATTCATCAAAATGGTGATTTAAAAAAAATTTTTTAATGTTTCTGAAGATGAATTCTTACAATTTTTGAAATGAAAATATCTTCACTTTCCCAGTTATCATATGATATAAAATCATCTTTGAAAAAAATTGCCAAAATAAAAGTTCTGTGCTTTAAAATAAGATCAAAAAGTGTTGGATGATTTTCATTTACAAAATTATTAGTTGAAATCGACAATTTTTCATTGTCACTAATATAGTTATGCTCTTCACTCTATGCATGTGTGTGCATATACATATTCATTAACAAAAATTTAAAAATAACTCTGTTGTACAAATATATAAGTAACTTAGTATTAGACTGCGGATGTTGCACTAAAATACAATGAAAAAAAAGGGCATTTTATTCCTTAGAATTTATAAACTATTTTGCAAGCTTTTAGCAAAATTGAAGAATCTAAATGTAATTATAACTCAATAATAAATTTTATTAACTATTAAAATACATACAGTATTATACCCATACGCATTAATAGATTTAGATATTTTTTCTTTCTTTTGCTTTCGTTACAGCATATATTCATACTGATATGTCTAGTTTTTTTTTTTTTTTTTTTAGAATATAAATTAAC